TACTGGATCTGCACCAAGTGACTCAGAGCAAGGAAAGGCTGGTTACGTGAACAGAAGGTAGGTGGCTTAACAACCTTGATCTTATCACAGACCTGTCAGCAGAGAGAACTGCACGTTACTGCAGAGCTACAGCACATGTCAATGTACTGGAAAGCAGTCAGATGTTTTCCACATCATCCAATTTGGGAATGCGTTGCAAAGTTATTTATTGAGCCGGTTTGGATTACACGGAATAACTTCAGAGCCTGCGATTTCCAGGGCTTCACCTGCCTTGCCTAGCCAAGGCCATGCTTGCTACTAAAGAGTCAGGAGAGGAAAACGGAGAATATATCAAGCCATTGTATTGTTTAGACCATTCAAACTCCAAGGGAGGTGGGAATGCTCCAGGATCTGAACCTATACACTTCTGGGAGGAGAGGAAGCAGGAGGGAAAACCCTTTATATTGACACCTCACTGGAAGGAAAATTATTTTGCACATCTGACATCACTACAGCCCCACAGCTTCCATGCTCTGTTTTGGCACTTGCTCATTCTTCAGACTGGAGCAAGCTTTCTAGCACACCACTCTAGCTTTCCAGGATATGTGTTAAAAAAACCAAAAATCCTAGGAAGCCACATTTTAGCCTGTCTCAGATCAGTGCCTGTGCAATTTACAGGAGTAACAGGTTAGATTGACCTAGCTATAAATGAGAAAGATACATCACAGCTGGACATCTTAACCAGTCTGGAAGCCTTTGCCAAGCTTTTCCAACACAACCTATGATTTTCAACAGCATTTCTACCTTTTTTCTTCTAACAGCATACGAAAAAACAACGTGCCTACTCATTCTGCTACCTTGTATCAGAGGGGCACCCCTGCTTCCTCACTCCAACCTGAGAAGATGCTGTCTCCCTTTCAGCAAAGCTATTTCCAGAGCCTATTTACTAGTTCATTGAAGTCTAAGACTTCCTAATTTTGCAGCATAATCTGTAGTTCAGTCACCCATGAAACTGCTGAACAGCCTGCAATTGTATGCAAATCCGCGCCATGGCTTGCGCTGTCTGAGCTCAGGTCTAGCCATTAGCGATGGCACACAGCACTGGAACAGGAGGCTCGTTATACCTGCCAGGAGCATTTGCCAGAAAAATGTGACTCTTCCCCCCCCCCCCCCCCCCAACCCCCGACCCCTCCACCTCCCCCCCCCCCCCCCCCATCATCCTCCCCCTTAAATAGTTTAATTAACATCATCATCCTATCTTCGACTCCAGAAAGTGACAAAAGCAGGGACACGGGGGAGGAGGCAGATACGGCATAGGAAGCGATCAGCTGGAAGGGAACCCTTGCTTCTTTTTACCCATTTAACTGGCCCTGCACAGTATGGGGCCACACTCCTGCTCCATCCCTCAGGCTCAGACAGTGCAAGGGATGCCATGCCCAGTAGAAGATCTCCCAGAGGAAGAGGGGACAAAACCAAAGGGTGCATCCCACTGACAGCAGCATACCTGGCCTTCTCCAGAGGGAAGGTGGATGGCTTCCCTGCAGGGGCTCGGGCAGACGCTGGCACCAGCACGGCTTGGGCAGCAGCACATGAGAGAAGAGAGGGGAACAGGGAGGGGGAACTCCTGCCCTCAGCCATGAGGGCTCTTGCATCAGCTCGTGAAAGCGAACCCTAAGGAAGGGACCCATGCTGAGTCAGCTGCAGCATCAGGCCTTCTGTGCAAGCACACAGGAAGAGGCTGCCCTAAGGTCATGGCTGAGGCAATGTCTCAGTGACACTAAAGTGACCCAGAAGCACCACCCTCCCCACCCTTAAGATAATCAGATTCGCTTTCTCCCATGACTTCCACATTTGCTGAGTGTACTTTGTCCCACACGAGTTGCAAACAGAGCTATTTGCAGCAAGAGCGGCACACCTTGCCTGCTGTGAGTCCACAGATGCCTGCTGAGGCATTACTCAGGCATACGTATCCCTGCTCAGGGCTCCCACACCTCTTCCCCTCACTCTCAGCCAAAGCAAACCCCTCACAGGACTGGCCACCCCAATCAGTAAACTTAAACCTCATCTTCAGCTGGGCAGCAGGCTACAGCATTGTGCATCCACCCATTCCGAGCCAGCAGGTGCAGGATGCCTGTCCTTCCTCCCTGGACAAATACTTGGACAAAAGACACTCTCAGAGAAAAAAAAAAGCTTTTCCTCTGCTTGCTCTTAAAGGCCCTCAATCTACGCTCTTTTCTACATTTAAATGCTGGACAGGCCATACATCCTCTTCCAACCACTGCAGCCAGAGCGCTCCTTAGCACCCTTCCACTATTTCTCTCTCCAGGAGATTTTTGCCTCCACTCCTCCAACAAGGGGCAGCCCATTTCTGCAGAAATCTGCTCAGCAAACATAGCTGGGGACCTAACTAGCATATCTCAGCAAACAGCTCCAACTCTGTGCATCAGATGACTGCTGAGTGTGGTGTATCGGGAACCACTTGGTTCCTCCCTATGGGGAGAGCTTCCTGAAGACCTTGCTGGTGCCTCTCCACACATAACATGTGCCGGTTGCTCAGGAGCACAGGAACCCATTGAAGGTTGGGTACCAGGGCAGGAAACCTCTTCCAGAGGACAGTAGAAGCTCCCACCACTCCACATCAGCATGAAACAAAAGCCTTTCAAAGCTGTGTGTGTTTGTTCAGTGGAAGAGGATTAACTGCCTTTCATTCTCCTAGATGGTCAATGACCCACAGCACCTGGGAGGAGAAAGCCCCCAATTCACTACTACTCTGCAGCAAACACCATCACTTGTGCCAAACCTGTCCCCTTCTTCCAGGTTCACTAGAAATTTCACCTGAAACATCTTTTCCAACAGAATTACAGCAGCTACAGGAAAACTTTTCAGTTTAACAAAGCAACATCCAAAAGTGGTTTCTTTAGACAAGTCCCAAGCAGCTCCAGGCAAGAGGCTGTACTTGGAGACCACAAGAAGCTAGCTCACTACAACACCAGGGAAAGCCCACAGAGGAGCATGGGGGTTCAGGTGCTGAGGTGAGGCTCACCCCTGGGCTCGCTCTACACCTTAGGGCAAACAGGTGGGAAAACAGCATTAGGCTGTTAAGAGTACAGTTTGAATGGCAAAGGCAGCTCAGCCCTGGCAGCTCTGTGCTTTAAAGACAGCACTTCGGTGCTCTTCCCACTCCCAGAGCATCCAGGACTGTTATTTACAATTTCCCCTTACGCGGGCCATAAATCCAAGCACAACTAGCAAACTCAACACAGTGTAAAAGGATCCCTGTGGCAGGCTAATTACCTTTGCAAGCTATGCAAGCCTATACAGTTTGCTTCTGCACAACAGCTTTGAAAACTTTGGCTAATGACTGTGTCTAGCAGATCAAACTTTCCACTTTCTATTGTTCTGCTCAGGGCAGCCAACCGGGAATTCAGGAGCAACAAACCTCAGGAGAGGAAATCAAGGTCATTAAGAGAAAGGGAAGAGGGGGTCTGAAACAGAAGGCTCCACAAAGCTGTGCAGTGGGATGCTACAGAATGTAGCAGAAAGGGAAAGATAGTCAATCTAAATTGAGAGGAAGCCTAACAGATTATGAGTATTAAAATCAAAACCAACAACAAAAACCAAGCAAATCCCCCCCCCCCCATCCCCCCATTCTCTTAAGACTTTAGGGATTAATCCTCTCTCATGACTCTACACCAAGATGACAACTTTTATAGTTGTTTAAATGAAAATATTCAGCACAGAAAAACCCGCTCCCCTCACGTCCACAGCCAGAAGGTCAAAAGATTTACTAGAGGTGCAGGTGCTGCATCTTTCATATTTTCTCATTTCTATGGAAGTGCAGTGATGTTCAGACTGCAGTTAATTTCACAGAGATCTCTCCTAACACCTACTAGCTCTATCCATGCATTGTCTATCCAGACAGCTGCTCATTTGCAATGGACATAGACATGCGGTAGTTATAGCACACACTTGAATTATAGCAGGGGAATCAGACTCAAATCCTTGCTCTGGATCAAGCAGAGCATGAACTAACCAGCATCTCCCATTTGCTGGATGAAAGCCTTGGCTGGCAACTACTGTCCGATCTAAGGTGACACATGCACTCTCTTGCTCTGATCTAAGAAGGACCAAAACGAAACTTTTACTTAGATGGCATTTCCCCACAAAAATCTTCAGTTTCAATGATTCTCTTAAAATTAAAACAAAACAAAACACAAACCACAAAAACAAGCAAACCACAAAACAAAGCCCAACCACAAAAACCCAAACCACTAATCAAGAAAAACCAACATGCTGCATTGGGCTGTGAAAAATCCCAACAAGCCTAATTTCCAGCCGAACGCTAGGCTGGTGCATCACTCATGTACTGTCCAAAGGCAAGGCCTCAGAAAGGGGTTTTCAAACGTTTTGGCTACAAGTTTAGCAGTCACACCAGATATGAGCATGTAGACTTTTCTTACAAACTTTCCCCCCCAAATTCTCTCAGTTATTTCCCCCCCCATGAAACAGGCAAAAATATCAACAAACAAACAAAATTATTGATAAAAGGACTTCAGGTTTCTTCTCACATGTTTTTGCTGTACTTTACAATCCTGAGGCCGGGACACAGGATCTCTTGCTGTAAGTAACAGAGGAATTTCTGAAAAAGTGCCAGAATACATACCACTAGAGAAAGCAAAAGTGGGGAGTGTCCTACCGAGCTCAATACTGCAAGGTAAAACCCGTTCCCATTACACATTATGGCCACAACACAGATGACTTCTAGGTTTAAATAACAACAAGGAAACCCAAAACAACCTTGTAACTCTTAAAATGAGCTCTCGAACAGCTTCACAGACTGCTCTGTAGCAACCTAAAGAGACAGCTTCAAAATCTCTACCTCCTTACCAAAACTCAGGCTAAAGCTTTTTCAGTCGATACGATTCTGGTTTGATCTGTTTGGATGAAAGCGGGAAGCCAGAGAACAGGAAACCACATACTCAATAAAGACACATTTGGAAGGGTGATGAAGGCATACTCACGCAATGCGTACAGGGAGAGGACTATTCCAGCCAGGCAAAATCCCTCAAAAAACCTGAGTGTGCTGAACATGGTCACGTTCACTGAGAGTGCCACAGTCAGTCCAAATACCAAAATGAATATGACAGAGAAGAGCAGTACAGGCCGTCGACCAACCCTGAAATTAAAGTAGGGAGAAACAGTGTTAAAAGCCAGGATGGACAACAACTAGCAAAGAAGGAAACAAGTCATGCAATCCATTCCAAATACTGTCATCCATTTTTAATGCTTGTTTCATTCTTCTCATTTTTTTTCTGCTTACTAAAACCCAGATTCCTCCATCAGCTTTACATTGACAAGTTCCTTTCCAAAAGGATTGAGTGGGAACAGCACATGATGTATTACTGCTTGATTTAAACATCATTTTCAAAACACTAAAGGTGAACAAGGGAACATCTAAGAACTATGATAACGCCATCAACAAATACTTTGGAGATTAAAAACAACTGCTCAGAGCTTTCTGTAGTAGCACAGTAGAGTATATGGTATTACATGTTATATGTAGCATGGTATATTATTATTTCTCCACAGTATACAGCCACAGAGCTTACTGCAGAGATTGCTTCTTCCCAACAAGTGCTTCTCAGCCTCATCTGCAAGAGGAGCAGACTCAGAAAATTACTTTTCTTGACCTCATTGAGGGCAAGCCTAACAAACACAGACTATCGCTTCCCTGAGCCTTAGAGAGCCAACAGTAATGCTTGCAGGAGAACAGTGAACTTCCTCCATGTCGCATCCCCACAGTGGCTGCCAAGATCTGCAAAACCAGCCTGACTGGAGGACTAGGAAGAAATCTCTCCAAAAATGATTACTAGCAATGCAGGCGCGAGGATTTGCAGTCCTCCCTTGCAGGCAGGCTTTGCATCTGCAACTTCTAGTTGCACCTGTTGGTGCAGCACCAACAAGGAGGAAGAGCTACACTGCCACTGAATGTGGGGGCACTTGCTGCAGAGTTTGGCTCTTACGTCAAAAGAATACAAGACTTTTACATCTCTTGCTCATATGCTTACTGTTTATAATTCCTCTTCCCTCCCCTCTTCCTGTGCAAGGAGAATGATACGAAGCACCAGAGCACACAGCTATTTTTAAGCAAGACTTGGATCGTTACATGGAGATTTCCAAAATTTTTTCAACTTGTCAACTCCCACAAGTTTTCCAGTGGAACTGAGGATCCCTTTTAGTCAGCTCCATATGCCATTTCCACAAAGAGTATATGAACTTGCTTTTCGTAGGCAGCTTTCACAGAGCCATTCAAAGTAGTCTGTCAGCTGCAAGCCAGCCATCAGGTTGAATGTCAGCACAATAAAGAGCATTGAAATCTCACAACTTAGTCCAGTTCCACGTACTGAAGTGTTTCTATTTAATTATTTCAGCAGGTTGTTTCCAGCAGCTATAAAGTATATCATATATACATTCACAATTAAAACTTTGGATTGTGCTTTACTTAAAATGGAACAAGATCAATAAAATATGTGGTGAAGGGCTGACAGAGAGGCATGGTTATATTTTTTGACATTTACTAGAAGAGGACACCAATACGCGTGTCACTATTCACGTTTTTGCAAAGTCACACCTAGGAAGGTGATGTGAAGGCTCCTTGCATAAGGACAGGTTTACTATTTTTTTCAGCTGCAGCATCACCTCTGGGGCACCTCAAAGATTTAAATTGTTGGCATTAGCCGTTCAATGTTTTTAAAATGGAAAGTACCAGCGTGCAAACTGAAGACAGCAAGGTCAAAGCAGACTGCTCTTAGTCAATGTACAAACCCAGCCCACCAGAAGATGAGCTGCTGTTGAGCTCAGGGTGGGAACACAACATCACTGCTTTGGTCATACGGGATGTACTGGGAACGTGCTGGATACTGGGGCAGTTACTGCTGCGTGTGCTTCAGATTTTATATCTATGGAACACGAAGCACTTGGGCAGGGAGGGGAAATACCTCATATGAAACCTTGAATACAGAAAAAACCCAACCAGCTATGAACTTTGTGTTATCAGCAATCTGCGCAGACTTTTGCAGCCCTATTTTTGTAATCGCCAAGCTGTAATTCATACTAATTAGTATTTGTGGAAGTATTTTGTAGATGAAAGGCATTATGCAAACACTCAGAATTAGGAACTTAATTCTCATCACAAGCCTGACCTGCCATTCCCTGATGTTGATTAAAAAAGACCTCATGCTTAGCATATATCAGTTCCCTTCTTCCCCTCCTCCCACTCTTTTTACTAGAGATTATCCATCATTAAGACGCAGAATTTATTCTAACATTATACAGGTTATGCAAATGAATGGTTGCTGCCTATGAAGAATCAAGAAAATGAAATCCAAGACCCTTCTGGGCTTGTGAAAGCCAACTCAGGCCAGACAAGTCCTCTAGTAAGAGGCATCATCAGCACCTCCTCCCAGACACAAAACTAGTCTCCTTCCTCACCAAGGCATGCACCACATTCCTCAAAAATCAAAACTCCAGGGCAGTTATCAGCCATATATTTGTGATCCAGCAGTGTTTTGACAGGATGGTGTCTCAGAGCATAAAGAAAGCCTTTTATATGTAGACAGAGTTATCTGACTAGCAGTACAAGGAAACGCTTGTGAGAAATTAAACCATACACAATCTCCCTGGTAAAACAGCCCCGGGATACTATCTGCTGCCATTCAAAGTATTCCAGAGAGAGATTTCTGTGCCACAAAAGTCTCAGCCTACACTGCACATACTATTATCTAGATCAAAGGCTAAATGCTGCCTGCACAGGTAAATAACTAGAGATACAAGCAACCTCGGGCTTTTGAAGAATCTGCAATCCCCACAGCGTGATATGCAGATGCAACAGAAAGATAACGTCATCAGAGTTGCACCACAGGGGGAAAGCAAGTGGGTTTGAGGATGAGATTTGCTCCTCCCATGCTCCTACACATGTACCTTGCCACCCCGAGAAGACTAAGCTTTGCTCTTGCTGCCGATCAGATTGCTCTTCCCATGCTGCTCTTTGCAGGTTTTGTGACTTGAACTGCCACCAAGGCTCCATAAAGCACCAGAGCAGGTGCAAAGCAGGAGCGGTTCTGGGCAATGAGAGGCACAGACCTGCCGTCTCAATACTACATGGACACCAAACCCACCTGCTCCAGAAGGAAGTCTTCCACAGAGACCTCAACAGCCTCTGTCCAGAGCAGGCAAAGCTGCCGGCAACACGCTGCCTGTTGAACGAGTAACCCATACAGGCGTTGGCCGCAGTCAGTCATCGCACAGCAGAACACGTTTACAGACCTTCTCCCTATAGATTTTCGACATAGAGCTATCCAAGTGTGCACACCTACTGTATTTTGAACACAGACCACTCAGTTTACTTAGCAAATGACCTTGATACACTCAATGCCTTTGCCAGGTACAGCTTTAAAAGCTTTCTTTCAAAAAAGGAAAAGCAAAATTCCAAACCCTAAAGCTACAAAAACCCCAAAGCACCATCTAATTATCTAAACCGGACAGTGGTATGTAAGTGAAATGAAAACAGATTTTGAAAGTTTGTAACACTTTCATGCATTACTCCCTTTAATCTCCCCTGTTCTTGCTGGGAACTGACATCCTTTTTTTTGTTCTTTTTCTCTTTTTTACAGGTACAAACCCCTTTGTATCTGTCTCTCCACACAACCCCCTGCCTTAGTGGAAACTCAAGTTGTGATTAAATAGCTCAGTAAATCCCATTCAAGCCTTCTTTTACCAGCCCCAAATGCTACTGTTAAATGACCAGAAGACTATCCAGTGCAGAACCCCCACTGTGTCAGGTACATCAGCTGGCAAGGATGGGGACCGAAGAGGAGCACAAGGAGTGGGTTTGGTGGCAGCAAACCTTGTCCCTTCTGGTCACCCAGGAAAGGGCAAAGGGCTCACTCATCCCTCCATCCACCAAGTCACCCTTTTTCTCCTCTGCACCACAGCTGGAAAACAGATTCTCTCCGAGTTTTCTTAAACTCATTAAAAAACCAACCAACAAACCAACCTGATTTTTATATCACGGTAATTTTATGCTGCATTAGCTCAGCTAAGCAGCTTGCAGAGGGGTTCAACAGGCACACGTGGCAGCACAAAGTACACACTAGGGACAGAAATGGATGGAAGAGCAGGATGCTCCTTCTTTTGGTGGCAAGGAGCTATTAAATCTGCTTATTGCATTTCTCTCTTGAAGCTGGTGCCTTAGGCAACAAAGTTGTTCACTTATTTGTGACTTACTTGTCAATTACAGCAGCATTTCCCTAACTTGGCAATAAGTCTACTTTCTCCACAATGATTCCATTTTAGGAAAGCCGAGCAAGATCCCTCATTCATTTCCCAACTATACTTTCTACGTGTTGTTAGAGCCCTGTTTTACTTTGGTATTTTAATCAAATTCAACTGTATTTCATCATGCACATTCCCTACTTCACTGAAAAGTCATTATTGCTCAGTTACCTAAAGACTTTAGTGACTATTCAAGAATTAAGATGCAATTTTGCTACAAATGTTTGAGCTAAATTACTGCACAGCTGCAAGGGACCTTTTCTCTCCCAACTGACTGGTGAGTTGCTGAAGCTTTGTAGGATTTCCCTAATAGGCAGCTCTTCTTTTTCCTTTCCTGTTTTAATGAATGGCAGAGGAGTTAACTTGGGGCCATTTAAAGCACCAACGCTGGCAACTGTGCTGGAAGGCACTGAAATGACTGGGACAGCAGCGCAGAGCTATTGTTTCAGATGCTGCAAGTTTCCATTGAAATCACTTGAGTCATGCCTTTAATTCCCCCCTCACCCCCCTTCCGCACTGCAAGACCCTTTCTTTAAATAAAAGCTGAACACTCAGAATAACTGGGATATCCAATAATGTTTTCACCACTGCAATTTAAGGAATTGCAATCTATGCTTTTAAATTTAATACCACCAATATTAACAACACATTAGTCAGCGATTCCTTAACACTACATCAAAATGTTTGCTTAACAAGAACTTTAAAAATAGAACAATGGAAAGGTTTGCAAAAAACAGCCTTCTACCCCCTGAAAGATACTGTGTAAGCACAAGGTTGACATGACACTAGTCTTGTATTCAGACAAATCAATGCTGCTTCCAATTTCTAAACCCTAAACCAAAAGCTTCACTTACATAATTAGAAAATACTTTATTCTGTACTAGCATTACAGCTGTAATAAATTGTGTCAGCAGG